TCCATATGTTGAGGAAATGAAAAAGAAAGTTTGAACAGCAGTCTGTGCGGTGTATTTGGGCTCTTTGGCGCTTCGGTATATGCACTTAAGTAGATTTTTTTTTAATATTTTTTTTTTTTGTTCTGAGGCTAAGATCCCGTTCAAAAGAAAAAGATTAAAGGACGTTTTTATGAAAAATATTTGTGTGCTGTTATTTTTGTTACGTACGTATACAGAGATTGAATAAAAATGTATTTATATACGTAAGTAAATGTATCTATTATATTAGGCCTTGAGCGCCAGAATAGCTTAACTGACATTTCAAAAAAAGTTGAGGTGCACCTTAAATTGCATTACCAGCATCGAAACGGTAATAGCTCGAGTTTTCTTTTACTATAATATGTAGAATCACGTAGGTGCAATGAATCTTTAGTAAAGTACCGCATTTATTTTTTATAGATCCTCTCTCATATTATTTAAAATGTTTTTGTAGAAAGGCTCCTCTGCCCCTCATGCCCTCATATGTAAAATTAATTTGTTTAGTTTTCTTGTTATAAAACTATTTATTGTATCCATGTCTTATTTATGGCAAATAAACGAGGTTTGTTTTTACAGTTTATTGTATAATAAAACGTTGTTTTTTTACTTGGTAACTTTTAGGCAACTTTTTTTGTAAATTCTGGTCAGAAAATTTTTTGTCGTGTGGCAACCGTGGTTATAAATGAAGAGTAACATCCAAGAATCTTTATGAAGGGTTTGAATGTATTTTAAGATATATGTACATACAGACCAGGGCTGCCGTTTTGGTAGAATTCTACCAAAACTGATCACTTTTACCTTCGCAAATTTGAGTTGGTAACTTGTTGGTAAGTTGTTTAACTTCTACCGAACATTTTCAAATATCTTTAGAAATGAAATTACATATGCTACTATTTGCCATTATCAGGTTCCCTTTTTTACTCTTTAATTTAAATCGGAATTGTTGTGAATGAGCATTTCAATTAATTCATAACTACTAGATGGCAATGTTGACACTTTGAAACTTTGAATTACTGTGAATGACCATTTCAATTAATTTATTCGTACCACCTGGCAATTTGGATGCTTTCAAATTCTTAAGACAAACGTTTATTTTCGTGGAAAGTCCATCCTGTGGGAGATTCCATGGGAAAGTGAACCTCAGTGCAAAAATTATTTTCTTTATAAAACTAACAAACGTGTGGATAAGAGATTTTTAAAAATCTTGGATCAACCAAAAAATAACAACTTAAAGCTTTAAATGCATTTTTATTACATTTTTAAGGTTTTGAAATGAAGTTCTAAGTAAATTTTTTGATTGAGATTAAAGTAAGTTGTGTTGAATGCACTGTCAAATAATTTGCGATTCATAATTCAAGTGTTTGGTAAGAAAAAAATATAGTAGAACTCATCTGCTTTTAATAAAATTGTGTTATTTATTAAATTGTCTGACTGCTTTATCTATATTATGAGTTATTATTAAGCAGTAATGGTCTTGTCCCACCCGTGACAAAAAAGCTAAAAGTTGTTATATTTAATTACAGAAGTTGAGGTTGTGTTTCGTGTTTGTTACATCGTCGAAATAATCCGAAAAGTACCGCAAATTCCGAAAAGTACCGCAAATTCCGAAAAGTACCAAAAATTCTGAAAAAAGCGACAATGTTACCAGCAAAAAAAACGCGAAGTATGTATTCCGAAAAGTCCTGAAAACCCCAAAAAGTCAATACACAGAAAATCCCGAAAAAGATCACCAAAAATTTCCGAAAAGTCCCAAAATAAGTGACGAGGGATCCTGCAAAGTAAAGCACGAGACATCAAAAAATTCTACGAAAAAGGCATATGTCTTTTTGATTTTATAATCTGATAACCGATGCGCGCATTAAATATCGGTTTCCACCTGTATATTTACAGTTAGTAATTTGGGTAAAAGATTATTATACTCCTAAACTTAAAATCAAGAATTTTACCTGTGCAAGTCGAATGTTGCTATATGTTCTGGGAGGTTCCATGGGAAAGTGGACCTCAGTGCGAAAATTATTTTCTTTATAAAACTAACAAACGTCCACACATTTGTAAAAATCTTGAATCAACCAAATAATAACAAATTAAACCTTTAAATGCATTTTTATTACCATTTTTACGTTTTGAAATCAAGTTTGTAGTAAAAGACTTCAAGTTCACACAGAAAAGTGAAATAAATTTGCAGGGTTTCCGTAAAATATATCTGCTCCAAGAAGCAGGTTCTTTTTTTTGTCACACCCGTGACAGAAGAAATAAATCTGATTTTTTCCATGTAAAAGTAAGCTGTTTTTCCGTATTGTGTAATAACTCATATAATAGTCAATTAGGGGTAGCTTTATCAAAATGTAGAATTATTGAGTACTGTATACTTAAATTTAAACAAGAAAGAAATTTTTGTTCTGTACAAATGTCCAACCCGTGACGGTGGAATCGCCCCTGTACGTGCTTTTTTAGGGGAGCGTTTGTGGACAATTATGGACAAGTAAGTTGATTTAAGCAATTTTTAGTCAGTTAGTAAAGAAGTTTTCTTGAATATTAAAAATATTAAACTGAAATCACATTTTATTAATTTATTATGATGAATGTATATATGTATACACAAACATTTGTTTCTATTCATAAACATATGAATGTAAAAACATGCGTACCAATTGTATTACATATTACTGAAATGATCTCAATTCTAAGTATTTTGTTGTTTTTTTTTATTGTTATTCACAAATTTATTTCATTTGTATTAAAGCGATTAAAAATCAAGCTTTCTTTATGTTTTTAAATTTTTGGTAAGTTTTTGTAACTTTGGGAAAATTTTGGCAACTATTTTTAATGCATTGTAAAAATCTTGGTAAGGAAAAAAATTTTAAAGCGGCAGCCCTGATACAGACGTACTACATAGATACATACACTCAGTTCCATAACTATATCACCAATACAATTTTTCAATTGCTTTAAAACGATTCCAGAAAAGTTCATACTATAATAAAAATGTAGAAAAGTCGTGTCTGTACATTAAAAATTTCTTTAAAAGAATGGCCGAAGGTGATGTAGGGAATAGGGATGTTGCGAATGTGAAATTTTAGACATCCGCGGATGCGAAATAACCAGGTACTAAGCTAAGTTATTTAGGTAAATAAAAAAATTTAAAAGTTAGTAATTTTTAATAATGTTTACTTTATTTAGTACTTGAATTTAAAAATTGAAAGTTTTATGAGAATTGCATCGGGGGCTGCAAATGTCGGATGTATCCTCCTGACTTTCATGTTGACTTGAAGAATCTAGCATAATGGTGAGATCGTTGTTTAAACATCGCTTACAAACCAAATCAGATGTGTCAGGTTTTTCTGAATCTTTTTAAAAAGAATTCTTCATTCTCAATCCTTTGGCAGTTTCAGAATTTGGGGAACTTGTAACGTCATCAGCTTTTTTCGATTTTAGTTTTTGTAATTCATTTTTAATGGTTTCTTCTGCGCCTGGTTTGAAGAATTTGTGCTCATAGCGAGCTAGATATTTTATTCCAGGAATGAAAATTTTGAACAAAATTATATTTTTAAGATCCTGGCTGCCAGCCGAATCGGATCAGAATATTGTTATTTTTTTAAAAAAGCACCCCGTTTTTTATAAGCATTTGAATTATTGGAATCACGAATGATGANGGTGGATATGGATAAATTATTATTTTCGGATATGGAAAATAAATTATTATTTTCCAGGAATGAAAATTTTGAACAAAATTATATTTTTAAGATCCTGGCTGCCAGCCGAATCGGATCAGAATATTGTTATTTTTTTAAAAAAGCACCCCGTTTTTTATAAGCATTTGAATTATTGGAATCACGAATGATGAGGGTTCCAGATAATTACGTAATTCTTACCTAATTAAAGGTCAGACCTATAGCTTTTTAAATATTTCAGCATCGATTCTCTTTATAGCTAAATGTTGAAGATTTCTGCTGTAAATCCCTATTGTAGGAGCTTAATCTTTCACTTTAAATAGCAAAGAAGGGCCTTTAAGAGGCCTTTAAGCAAGGATCCAATGTACATATTTATCTATGTAAAAAATATTGCCCGAGAAGTAAACAAAATTACTGTTTTTTAAATTTTTCCTTAAAATAAATTCCCCAAAGAGCCCCATTTGAAGTGATTGAAACGAATATATCGTCACCTGAAATGCAAAAAGACGTAATAACGCCATAACTGATGTGGGAGTTGAAATTCGATGAAATCCATGATATCAATCAAAAACTGAATTTCGAATTTTTATTAGATACGACTTTTTGTATTTCAGAGACGTTGTTTGTTACGTATTTTTGCATTTCAGTAGTGGGATTCACTAAATTTTAACAATGCAACTCGACGAGTTGTAAACTAAAAATTTTTTTGTTTGTAATAACGATTGTGCGATTCAAAAACCTACATTTAACAACCCTAAACAGCTGACTTTCGCCATCTATTTAAATTGATAAAAAGTGGCATCCCTGTCAAACTAAACGTCAAATATGCGAAAAGTACAAAGAGGAATGCAAAAAAAACATTTAGTCTGTTCCAATAGCAGTCCGGTTTACAGGATTTAGTCAGAACTTACAGGAAGTCGTTCCTATGGACATAAAACCTGTAAGTGGGAACACTTTTGAGAGAGTAACTGAGCAACTGTTCCTAGTCAGAATTTACAGGATTTACTCCCGAGTTTTTTTTCCTGTAAGTTCATGAAAAGTGTCAAACGATCAGCTGATTTGCATATGCAAACAAAAACCGAAAGCGGTGAAAGCAAAGAACCTTATATTTGTAAAAAAAATGGAAGTAAACAAAGAAATGTTTGAATATGTATAAATTTTAATAATTATTTAGTAATATTTCAGCCAAATCAGTGTTGTACCAATGACATGTAAACAAACCGACTGACGTTTTTACAGGAAATAGTGCTTTTTGCGTTCCCGTGCACTTCTGCTTCTGTTCTCCTTTTACTCTCACTTGGGAGAGTAAAATTGTAGTTTGACAGTTCCACAGGTTTTAGTCCGTAGTTCAAAGGAACAGACTAATTGTATTTATTCCCGCCGAAGGAAAATTCAAACCATCAAAGTAAGTATATTTTATTAATTTACATATAAGTGTATAAATAATTTACTTTTGTTTATTTGCAGCATGTTATCAGTGAACAAAGCCGCAACAAAGAGGAGCCGGGCCTCCGCCGAGCAACTGAGCGGAATGGTGGACTTCTTTGCGGAGAATCCTGGATTGGCTGGCGGAAAGTTCCAGCAGCTCCATGGAAAGTTGGAGCTTCAAAAGAAGTGGGAGGAAATGGCCGTGAGGTTAAACGCCATGGGAGGAGGAGGGAAGTCTGCCGACCAATGGCGCACGGTAAGTAGTAATCAATTTGTCACTGATTAACATCCTGCAAAGAGCGGAGCTCGATGGAGCACCACTTCTTGTGTGTACTTACATTCATTGAAGCCTAGAATGATGTTTTCACGCATTTTGCGTGTTAAATAGTTTTAGTAAATGTTTGTGCCAATAATATAATAACCGGGTGCGGTTTAGTTATTCGTCCAATGATTACAGGCTATTTTGTCCGAATGGGTGACCCGATCCAACAAATTTTACGCACACTTATAGTGAAGGGTCTACACTTTATTTTAAAACCTAATTTTGTGATTTCCGGTCACTAATTGATTAATAAATTCGGTCTGAAGAATTCACTTTTTTTTTTAAGTGAGTTCTACGCGAATATACTGTGGATAGCGTAGCCGGGAGTTATATACACAAGAAATGTTGAATAGCTGTCACACAGTTTTGCTTTTTTGAGTTATGATACTATTGAATTAAATGAGCGATATGTATCTACATATATTTTATTATAATGCTAATGTACATCATTTTTCACTTAAAGGTTTGGCGCGGTTTAAAAATCCGCACAAGCAATCGGGTGCGCGATCGCAAGAGGCAGCAGGTTTAACCGGCAACAGGCCCATCAACCGGGCTCCCTTAACGGAGCTGGAGCAGCGTGCGGTTGCCATCGTTGGGAGCCACTACATAGAGGGTCATGAATCGGTGGTGGACAATGTGCCAATGGAAGAGGTAAGTTTTTATTAAGTTGTGTCAAACTTTTTCTTATTATTTTTTATACTTACTCCCTTTTTTATTACAATTAGGAGCTGCAGTTGGCCCTGGAGGATGGGGAAGAGCTAATCCTCACGGAAATATCCCCAGAATCTGCTGTCCCATGTAATTGGTACACCCCTAAATCTCCTGCACAGAAGACACCGCGCAGGAGTTGGAAGCGGAAGAGGGAGGAGGACGAAAGCGAAGTCCAGATTAAATATATGGAAATTGCTCAAAAGCAGGCGGATGCTATGCAGGCAAATAACTCGTTATTAAAAGGTATCTTGATTTTTTTATATACCATTCTTTTTCAATAGATGCTCGCCGAAGGATTCACACGGCTTGTTGAAGTTCAAGCTACTTCAGCGAGCTTTATACAGACCTTAGGGGAAGGCATGAAAAGCTGCGCGGATGCCATTAACAATTTGGCCAAGGTACTAGGCCCTCAGTAAATATTTTTTAGTTTTTTTGTTTTAGTTAATTTAAATGAATTATTTGGTTTATTTTATTTAATTTAAATGTTTTGTGCTACATACGCCGTACCTGTTTTTTAATTGAATTAATTATTTTATTTTTTTTCTGCTGATATGTTTGATGATATTTCTTAAATAAAAACCTCCTTTTTCTGAAATAGATCATAAATTATCTCAAAATTCATAAATTAAATGGATAAATTGAAAATATTTATTAAAAAACTATTAAAATCAGTACGCATTGGAGTTCTACTGCGAATATCTTCTAAATGGATAGACATCAACAACATGAGACCTTTTTATAGAGCGTTTAATTCCCTATAGAAATAATTGAAACTCATTTGACAATAATTATTTTTTAGTAAGTTACAAAATTCAAAACAAAAAGTTATTTTCCTTAAAATACCTCAATATTTGACCTTGAATATCTTTTAGATGGTTAGATTAATGAAAAGAGTATATGAGACAATTTTTGTAGAGCGTTCAATTTCCTATAAATATTGATGATGCAACTGGTTAAACGATCTATTGGTGATAAGATATGACCATTTAAATATGCGACTAAACTGAAAATGGAAAACTGTGCTGAGCATAATCTTCCCGTTAATATTAAAAGTTCAGATTTTGTAAGTACTTTCTAGAGGCACCTAGGAACTAGTTTTCGTGTGTCGGATCCGAAAAAAAACTACTTGATTTTTTTTTGACCCACCCTAATGGGCATACATATGAATGAATGCATGATACAAAAAGAAGGTAGTTTCATTTCAAAATTTTTGACAAAAAATAAGTTTTTGAAGTTTCATAAATTGTACAAAATTATGAGCTACCTTGCCACATTGTGAGGAATCAAACAATACAACAGAGGATTTAATGTTGTGCGTGGGAAATGTTCGGTTATTTCTGCAATGATATTTTGGAGGGAGCGGAGGGGGAAGAAGTGTGGCACCTAAAACTCCAGTCATTAGAAAGAGCGCAGTATAAACTTGCAGAAAAGTCATCCTTCGTCTCCCTGCCCTTTCTACAGGCACCATTTCGAAATAGAGTAAAATTAGCATTTTCACGATCCACAGTATTTTTGCTTAAAATCCACCTCTAAATTTACAAAAAAAATGCATATTTCAAACCGAAATCTTTGTTTTAAATTAAAGCTTAGTCCTTTGACTAGCCGCATATGTTAAAATTTTTTGATTCGGACCACGCGTTTGGACACGATAACCCAAAATCATTTCACAAATAACCGAACCGTCCTCGAATTGTTTGTTTACTATGCGTTTTTCTATAAATAAAAATTTTAGAAAGTGAAACTGCAGTACTTCTCATCTTATGTGCATGCATATATATTTTTTAGCAGCGCCACATCTTTAT